ATATATATATATATATATATATATATGTCCACACACAAACATTATATTAAGGGATCCCTTAAATTACGTTATTAAAGGATCGCATTGTAGGTCCATATTGAAATGTGGTTTAACGATCCAGACCGTCCATTTTTCAAGTCCATTCAAGGGTCATCCGTGCAAAAAATCATATCGTTAAATGGTTTCCCATTTGCCTAATTTTGGCAATGATGATTCTTGAATGGAGATTTAAAAATTGGATGATCAGATCCTAGAACTACACTGGGAGGTGCACCCCCACAATGCGTCCCTCAAGTCAGCATCGTACTTGAATGATCCAAATCGTCTATTTTTTAAGTTCTCATTCATAGATCATACTTGAGAAGAAAAAATAGATAAATTGTAAACCATTAAGACATCTAATTGTGATAATATAAATAGACAAAAACGGCTTTTCAAAAAATAAACACTACAATGATTAAATAGTTTCTAGTTTGGAAGATTTTTTGCAAAAGCCATCTTTAAGGGAGACCTCAATAACTAATCGTTCGGGTCATTAAAATAAAATACATTTTGGGGCCCTACAAAGGTGACCCTCCTTAAGATAGGTCCCCTTAGACGAGAATCTAAAAGGGATCATGTTTTTTGGAGCCATTCTACAATGCAGTTCATTGATTTGAACCGTCATAAGTTTTACATCCCCATTTAAAAATTATGCCTGCAAAAATCAACAAAATGGAAAATAGTTTGACCATTCAATTATTATCATGAACATTTTAGTTTTAATTGGAACACTGTGTTAGCCTATTTATTTGGTCATAATAAGATAACTTAATGATTTTTCATTTGATTGAAGTTTTGTATTGTTGCTTCTTGAATTGATACTAACAAATGGGAGGTTTGGATTACTGCAGCAGATTTAGAGTTAAGCTCACATGTGACCTTGCAGGACATACGATCCATTGTATTTTAATGATCTGAATGATCAATTTTTTAGGTCTTCCCTCAAATATCATCTCTGCAAAAAGTCACCCATATATCGGAAAACATATAACCATTTGATTAAATGGCAGTCATTTTAGTGTTTTTTGTGGACATACAATGTTTTTCTATTTATTTCGTCACAATTAGATATCTTAATGGTTAAAGATTTGTCTAATTTATTTCAATGATGATCTATGAATGAAGAGTTGAAATATAGATGGTTCAGATCATTGAGATACAATGTGGAGTGGGCCTACAAAGTGTCCCTCAAATAAGCTTATATTATATATATATATATATATATATATATATATAGGGTGGTGATTTCCCCACTCCTTTTTTATCCACTTACACTCCTTTTTTAGTTATAAAAAAGGAGTGTAAGTGGATAAAATGAGAGAAAAAGGAGTGGGGAAATCACCTCTCTATATATATAGAGAGAGAGAGAGAGAGAGAGAGAGAGAGAGAGAGAGAGAAAGAGACTTGATAAAATTTCTACTTAGAACTTTGCCAAATTCACAATAAGAATCAGACAAATGGTTGGATTATTACCTCTACATAGCACAGGCCTTGTGCTTCTGAGGTGCCAATCAAAACAAGATCACAAGGCACCTCATCATTCTCTCGAAGCCAAACTATGTTACCAACACGAATATCCTGCGCTTGTATCTAAGAGTAGATGACACCAGACAAAGAAAAGAGAAACATCAAGCTATTAGTTCAGCAAAATCTAAGGAAAAGTGGATGACAAATATCTAATCCATGAGACTGTTGAATAAAAAAAAATTGAGAACTAAAGAATTATTCTATAAAAACATAACACAAATGTAATGATCATATATAAATCATTTTCTTATAAGTTACACAAAATCTTAGTTTATTTCTATACCATAATGGGCATTTTTTTTATTTCTTTCTTTTTGTTCAGTAAGTACATTCTATGAGCATTTGTGCATGAATCTCTTAAAGTAAACTGAATCAGCTTGGAGTTATTATTCCCACAAAGGGGACCTCCCCACCACAGATTCATCCCAGTTGTAAAATCTTACGTTAGACATCATAAGATAACATAAACAACGAAAAACAGAAAGAAGAAAAAATGTCAAGGCCCTCACATGATCATCCACTTTATAAGTTACTAAGCATTGCACAACTTGCAACCACTTTCAATGTACTAGCACTCCCTTTTTCTGGTTATGGGGTTGGCAATTGATTTCCTTTTTCTTCAATTTTTGTATTTGAAAAATTATATCAATACCACCTGGACTAGAGGCCCTGTCGCAAATTGCAACCTGGAAAAAAAATGAATCACACTTGCTACCTTAATTTCTGGCAATGTGCCTGCCTCCTATGACTAACTCCATATCTTTAAAACGAGTGTGTAACTATATTATGGATGTCAAAATAGGTCACATACGAATCACGTGCTTTCTTTTTTGGTGGAATTTGCAACAGGTATGGCATAGTGTAATTTTCCAGTTTTCTTTTATTGGTCTGTGAGTTATTTTTTGTTGTTCCCATATTAACTCCTAAAACGAAGAGTTTCTTACAGTACATGAAGGAACAAAAAGAGGGAGACAAAAAAAAAATAATCCATAACCAAACAGGTCACTAATCTTCATGAACCAGTTTAAATGACCTCATACGTCATAACATTCCTAACATTAGCATTGATCTATTATTCTTCGATGTCTAGATCTTAACATGATTGCTCTTATTGGGTATTGGGAACTCCTTTCAGTGCCCTGCATCTAGTATAATGACATCTGCTCCACTAAATGATACATAAGTACAAATATACTCATTCCATCTTTTCTTCTAACTAAGTTTTCTACTGTTCATAAAGGTTACATCCTGAGGTACAAGGTTAACATTTATTCCTTTTTCTTCTTTATTCAGTTCTTCACTGCAAATCTAGAGGTGGAAGATTAAAACTTATCAATCTGTTCTTAGTAGTATTTCTATCTACTACCTTTCACTTTTTCAAATTGCTGTTGAAGTGTCAAGAATAGGAAAAACAGTAGTATTGTCTCTCTCTCTAGAGGAAAAACAAACGAACTCAGGAAACCCAAGGAAATAAGCAAGAAGATAAGAGCGCCAAGAATTAACATGGTTCGGCTAGATGGCTACGTCCACAGGACAAAACAACAGATCTCCACTATATGAATAATGGGTACAACAAATTATCTTATCAAGCCTCTAGATTCAAGACTTGATGAACAACTAGAAAGAACAAGACAACAAAGAAAGACTCTTATCTCTGTTCTTATCTCTCACACACATTTTTCCCTTCAATATTCTCTCACTCTAAGATTGCTCGGGGTTGGATAATCTATCAAATGCTGATTAAGTGTGGAGGATATTGGTTGTTTAAGAAGAGAGAATCGTTGGTTCCTTATAGTCATTTATCTTTCCTTTTCACATAGACAAGCAGGAGACGTAACGTAAGGATTAGCTAAAATGCGAAATTAGGGGTATGTGATAGATAGTGATCTATCTTGACTCTATATTTTGATATAACTCCTTGAGTGCTAATTAATATTCTCTCACTCTCACTCTCACTCTAACTCCCTTCAATATTCTCTCTCTCTCTCTCTCTCTCTGTGGAGTGGAATTCTGAATATTGTTCTCTCTTGCTTGTTGATGATGATGCTTGTAAACTAGCACATCAGATCTCCTTATATAGCCATGATAAATGCCTTCATCAATTAGGAAATCTAATACTAATAGGAATCTGCTTACCAAGTATTTTAAGCCCTCCTCAATTGGGAAAACAACACCAATTAGGAATAGGATTCTTATCCTCCAAGACTATTAGTCCTAATAAGCTTAGGAAACTCATCATGGCTGGAAAACCCAATAAGTAGTTGAAATCTCAGGAACTGCTAATGCATGAAGAGGATTAAAGAATGCCAATCAATACTAAGCAAGCTAACCCGCCATATAGATTGACAACAATTGTTAATTGAGTTTGTTATTCTATTTAAACAACATTAACTGCTGCAAAATAAAATAGGATTGAGAAAGTGTAATACATGTTTCTTGATGCCTTGCCTAACAACCCAAACTTCTTTCTCATTTGCCTTTTTGTCTGAGAGATATCTGTTGTAATCATCCCATGCCTCTTTCGTCGCAGAGACTGCAAAAATGAAAATAAGCGGGCCCCATGTACTGGCAGGATTTACTGGAGTAATAAGTGACCATAGCTGAAGACAAGCAATCAGCAAAAAATACTGATTCATGAAGCGGCTGAAAACAAATGTAATATTTGTTAGAGAAGAGGATGGGTGGGGGAAGACATCTCAAAATCTTTATGTTTATACATTCAGCCCATGTACCAGATTTGTGAACAAAAAAGGTGACTTTAAAAAGGGACAAACAAAACAAATTAGAAGAAGAAAAACGAGCTGAGAGCAAGACCACAACAATTAAAACCAAGGGGATACAAATCATAAAATTAGCAAAATTTGTGCCCCGTATTATCCCCAATATCATAACATGCACCACAACAGTAATGAAATATTCAAAAATTATTGATGGAAAAAAATGACACCGCATTTCCCTTTATATAATTAAAGAACCATCATATTATCCCTAATATCTCCATATATGCTATAATGGATTCAAGAAAAGCTTATTGCAGTGAAGTCCAATAAAGTGAGAGAGACTATGACTTTTAATCTTTCTGAGTCTTGACGCATTTCAAATTAACTGAATGAACTCCGCTGAATTAACCCTCCCAAATAAAATGTTCAAACATATAACCAACCAATAGTTTATTCAGCACATATAAAAACAAAAGTATCAACTCCTAAATCACCTGAACTGTTCCCATAAATTCTTTGGGAGAAAGTTCAACAAAGTATACTTCCTATTTGATATGCGATTGTCACAGTAAAAACGGTGCGATGATTCATCGTCATTGATGTAGATGTAGCGCTTCATTGCTGAATTACAAGCACATGATGAGGTTCAAATGTTATTTCCAAGTTCACTACAGTGCTTGGCAGCATGTAGCAGCTCCATACAAGAAACGAGGGACTGAAAGAGAAAAGAATGAATCAGACTGTGAACAAGAATATCAGATATTTTATACCGGGGACAAACACTAAGATGGAAACTGAGTAAGGAGTTGCCTAATTCGCTCACCCCACTACGAATTTCGATCTGGATCGAGCGTACCCAATCGCGGTACTGTATCGATCTGGAACGAAAGATTCAACGACTCAGTTCCAGAAGCGAGAACAGTACATGATAGACGAGGTCGCTGCTCGGCAGACGAGCAAACAAGGGCAAATGAGGGAGAGTGCAATAACTGATGAGCCCACGTTTGATTCTTGGTCTCTTGGCATAAACGGGAAGGAAGATATTGGGTTAGGAGAGGAATTTTTTGGATGAATGGATTCGAGGAGGACAGCCCACCTAAGGCAAAAGGCCTCTAGTCTCCCAAAATCAGCTCCAGCGGTGACATCCACCCCGGGCAAGAGTTGGGTCCATCGAGCCCGGGCAAGGCCCAAGGAAAGATAGTCTGAGCTGCTGTATGAAAAAAAAAATTATTGAAAAAATTCTGAAAAATTACCAACACATTCAGAATTTTATTTGAGATTTTCTATTTAAACCCCACACTTCTCTTATTTCACTCCATGTTCTAAGTTTACCCCAATTTTTAATTTAAAATTTCACAATTTCTAAGAAAACCCCACTATCTTCCTAAACTACCATTAAATACACCACAAGCTGAAAAAATAAGAATAAAATAACTTTTCTATTTGAACCCCACAAGCTACCCTTAGAGGAGGAAGTACGTTCTGCAAGCTCTAATGCTAATTGCTAGACATTTTATCATTTTCTCTCTTGAGTATTTAATAATGACAATGAGGTATTCAATTTTCATTGGCATTCGAAATCGACAACTCTTTTGAATTTCGGTGTGGAAAAGCAACAAGAAAAATAACCCAACTATTGAAGCAGCAACAACATGATTATGATTTTAGATGCATACTAGAATTCTAGAAGTGACAATAATATTACTATTCCCAGTAAAAAAAAAACAAAAACAAATGGAACCCAAATTCGAAATTTAATACTTTCTAGAAAAAGAGAACAGCTTTACCAAAACATTAGGTATTAAAAAAAAAAAACAATCAACAAAGTGAAGAGAATAAGATCATTACAACCAAACAATCAACAAGTCTTTCTATCAGCTTCCAGGCATATTTTAAAGAGGCAAGCTCTTCAATATTCTACGTCTCTGGCAATACGATGTACAAGAGTTTGTATTTTTCTAAAACTTAATATGAAGTATGGTGGGGTGTGTGTATAGATGTATTAGGGTTAAGTATTAAGTTTGATGACTTTTTTTGTCTTTTTACACAATAATAAAACTTACAGCTTAATGATTTAAGTATTGGGGTGAAGTAAGAAAAGTGTGGGGTTTTAAATAGAAAATCTCTTTTATTTTATACATACCTAGCAAATTTTTATTTATTAATTTCATACATATAAATAAAATTAATCTTATGTGAATAGTAATTACTCTTGGGTTGCCATGACAGTAGGTGGAAAAGCAAAAAACAAATTGTTAGGGCAAATACTATTCATGTGAACAGTAACTGTCTTTACTTACTCCCCTTTGCATGGCAAATGGGTGGAAGTACTCTAAGGGAGAACGTATTAGAGATTGGGTGAGTAGATGTGTCAATATAATAAAAGTATTGCTTCGAGTTTCAAGAATTCAATCTCGTTCTCCTAGACCTTATGGTCCAAGGAAGCTGTGGTTACCTACCCTTGGATCTAATCTAAAGGTTGAGAAAAAACTGGTTTAAATATCAATATGTATCTTTTATTTTACTTTTACTACAGTAAAAAACTATCTTGATTGTTAAAATTAATTTTTTTTTTTAGAAGTTTAATATCATAGATGAAAAACATGAATAAAAAAACTCATCCGCATCTAAGACTATTGTCTCCGATGCCAATCATCTTTCTCTTTCACACCTAGTGAATAAGAAAACATTAACCTTTCATGAAAATACAATATAATTGAAGAAACCCAAGTCTTCACGAACCTAGAAAAAAAAAAAACAAAAAAAAAACAAAAAAACCAAAATTTGTTTATAAAAAATTGAAGTTTTCCCAAACTTGGTTCATGAATCATTCAAATCTAACATTTATAAACAAAAAATTGATTACAAAGCCAAAGAACAAGAAGAAAGTGACTTGGTTGTGGGTCCTTGAAATTCAATCACTTTAAAGTGTGAAGAGATGTCTTGATGGCTCCAAATTTGAGTCAATAAATTTTCTTTTGTTTTTGAACAAATTGAATATTTGAATCTAAATCAAGAGATGAAATAGATAACCAATAAGAATTAGAGTGAATCTTAAACGACACGTGTTCTTGATTTTAGTCTGCAACACCAAAGTTGAAGGTAAATGAACAACAATGGAGGAAGAACGTGTTCTTGGTTTTCTAAGAGAGAGCATGTTTCGGTTAGAGTGATATTTTCTTTTTTTAATTTTTTGTTTTTATTCAAGTTAAATTAATATTTTGTATAGTAAAAGTAATAAAATAATGACATATTGATATTTAAATCAATTTTTTCTCAACCCTTAGAGCAACTCCACCCATTTGCCCTTAGCCATGGCAAAGGGGGGAGCTAGGGCAGCCACTATTCACGTGAATAGTGGTTGCCCTTGCAAAATCCGAATTTTGTGTTTCCACCCGTTGCCCCTGCCAAGTGGAGGTTC